TGATAATAAGCAAATGCCGCTTATTTTATATTGTTGTATTTTTCATAATAATAAACGTCCGTACATTGTGTGCGATCGTGGTTCGCCCTCGCCACGGTGTGTTTATATTATTATTATTATTATTATTATTAGGTAGGTTATAATATGGTCGTTGTTTTTGTTTACACGCAGAAAACCACTCAATACACGATGACGCTTTTATTTTTTATTTTTTTTTGTACCTACTATTATTATTTACGTTTTACTTTTAAAATTCGTTTTTTTTTTTCACTCTTATTATTATAATAAACTCAGCGGCGGCGGCAACAATCACTTGTTCGGGCCCGAGCGAGGGCACGAGCTTTGCTCGCGATCGCGATCGTTCGACCGCAACGGCACGGCGGCGCGTCGTTATATCGGCGTACATGCGACCGCGACCGCGTCTTACCAACGTCGGTGTATTGCCTATATACTCGATCTGTTTCACCTTGGCCCGTCGGCGAGGACACCGTAGCCGGTACCCGCCGTCACCGCCACAGCAGCCACGGCCAAGAAGTCGTACGCCGGCGTATAATAATAATAATAATAATAATAATAATAATAATAATAAAAATAATAAAAATAAAAAATTTAATAATAATTTAATATATCCATCATTATATTATTATTATTATTATTACTTAATATTACATGGTGAGCGTATAGGTCGTAATGTGTGCGTGTGTGTAAATTTGTGTTGATATATTATATTATTTGTTATTAAATTTTTATTGCATTAAAGTTGTGCGTGTATCTACCTATTACGCGACCATTATATTATTATACTTGATATTATTATTATTACGATTAAAACCATTACGGTGACGATTATTATTATTATTATTATTATATTCTCGTTATCGGCGGCGGCGCCGACGATAGTCGCCCTTCAATCGTGGCTGATGAAAAACCGCGAAATCTCAGCAATAATTACGACGATAGTCGTAATAATTCATAATAATGGGACTCGGTAGTTTGGATATATAATAATAATAACAATATCATGTAACGTCGATATTGGGCGCGCCTATATAATAGAGTCCTGTGAATAGTATTTTTTATACTTTCGCGCGTATACACTTATCGGCAGCGGTTTTCTTTCCAAACCTTAATATAATTATTATCATTATTATCTACATTACATACTCTCGTGCATATAGGAGTGTAGGGCGAAGGTGCACTTGCACGTGTATGTGAAAGAGTAAAATAGCAGCTCATAGGGGAATTTAATATCTTATAGACCATAATAGTTATATCTATATAATATTATATGATATGTATAGAAATAATCTCTCGTATATTTAGCTCAAATATAGTAGTGTGTCGAAAATAATTGAAGGTACAGAAACTGGTTCGTGAATGCATTACCATATGTATATATTTCACATAGGCGTGCGATTGACAACAAATTTGGTCGGTGATCTATTTTTTCCATTAATGATAGGTGTTATACCTACGACATTACAAATACACGCAATAATGATAATTAATTTACAAGTGTACATGATGAAGTTGAAGTAATGCATATTGTATTGTGCAGCTATACTACATGGGTACACGTCCACAGGTGCGTTTGTATGCAACAGGTTTGCTGCAACCTGTAGTAAAAGTATAATATATACACCGGAAATATACGAATTTCGATATCATGAAAACACAGGTTCGATGGCTTGCGATTTCAAAACGGTTAAAACACCGAGAAAATTATAAAATTATTTGATAAAATTATATTATCTACTTGTATCTAAACAAAAAAAAAAAAAAAAATTATCTATTCCTACCTGCGTATTTTTTGTTAAGCTATTATTATGCGCAGTTTATTTAAATAAAGATGATGATAATAATAATATAAAAATAATATAAATATTAAATATTCTACGATTTTTTTTCACGGAATATTAATGTATAAAACTATAATATATTTCGAAATTTCGAAATTTTAATCGTCGAAGACACTACAATGTAAATATATTATGTTGCATATGTACAGGTCATCAATATTCAGCGTTTGCGTATAAGACACAATCACAACAGCTAGTACAGCCTCAACTTAATAGTAGTTTTCTCCATAAGACTGTTATATCTTTGTCGCCATCATTATTACATATAGGTAGGCATTAAAACGGGCTGTGGCATGTCCAAATGGCAAGTGGCGACTATGAAACAACAAAAACTCTGCAGTAGGCATAGTTTGTTTTCGAATTTGAATATTCAAATGTATTTATGAGAAAATGTAGACGCCGCTATAATGTATCAATCGGACACTCATATAATGATTCCGGATTTTGAATAGTGGTATTTCTTGATTTCATAGCGGTAAAGCTATTATGAAATTCAAAAAAAAAAAATGAGCGTCACACCAACACGCGCCTACCAATTACAACGATAGTTGGTACGAAATGTTTATAAAAGTTACACAATGCACGACTTTATATAGGCGTAGTACGCACTATTATAATATTTTAATAACGTGTGCGCGCCTATAATTTATTGTTAGTATAAAAAAAATAACGATGATAAAAAATTAAAAAAAAAAAAAATACAGGTCGAAGAACGTCGAAAATGGCCTAGTATTTACTATTTACATCATATACGACCGCGTGATATATACACGACGAACACGTATGAAACAACAACTTTGACGAAAACTGCCTATCAATTTACATCACACGCACATAATAATGATAATATACTATGTACAATTATGGTGGTGACTGCCGACCGGACAACAACACACAATTTCCAACGAAAATGGACAATTAATTTACATCATACGTATGCAAGTTTTAAAGACTATTCGATACGAAATCTATATACGAATAATGATTACGATTATAATGAACAATACAATGTCGCACAAACATTACCATTAAACATAATGAGTAATGACGATGATGGTGACTGTGAACGTGAAATCATCCACTATTGGCTATACGCCTATATCACACTATTATATACCAAACTTTCGTAATATTTTTATGTCTTCTCAGGCCGTACAACTCATGTATAATAATATCTATTATGTATTAGTACCAGTATGTATAAAATTGTTTTTTATACCAATCTATGCAAATTATGTCAACAAGATATTATTTAAATACGAAATGTCTCGAATAATCTAAGTATATAATTACCGGCCCGCTTATTGTGTTTCGGTCGCATAATTTACTTTCATCTCATAATACCCACGTTATCTTTCAAAATGCACGCATAGAAGCATACAATAATATACTCGCACGTACTAATCAAAACATTTCACGATTCTATCAAACTTTTTGTAAATAACAAGACTACGGTTTTTTCTGCAAATCCTCTCGAGAAATTGTTGGTATTTAAAATCAAATTGGAATCATGACCGGCATTAAATATTATAATACATTCGCGATAGTTATTGGTTAATGAAACTAACGACTCAAATTCAATAAATTCCAACTGAAGAAAATTGTTCTCAAAGTGTTCGAAAAATAAATTGTTTTCACTATAGTTCCACGTAATTTATTATTTTAATTTATAGTTCTAAAATGATTTACAAATCAACATACACATCGTAACAAATATAGTAATTATACTAATTAGATAAAAATAAGATTTAATAAATCATAAAACTCTTTAATAGATATTATTATCTAATCAAACTTAACCTTAATTAATAATTTCCTTATTTTGTTAAATGTCTTGGTCATATAAAATAATTATAATAAAATAAATTAATAAATACCTACTAAAACATATTTTATTCAATAAGATAAACAAAATTGTATTTAGATAAAAAATTTGTTTTAAAAAAGTTATCAGAATAATAACTTAATACGAGGATTTTTTTTTTTTATTAGAAAGTTCCTCAACCTCAAGTTACCTTGATACAAATTTAACTTAAAGAATCATACCAGATTACATGCTCCATTGTTTAACTATTTAAGTATATTTTAATAAATCATCTTAGTTTCATTATTAATATTTTAAAAGTAATTTTACTTATATATGTTATATAGTATTATTTATTTAGGTTCATTTCATAGTCACGCGTATTATACGTGTATTTTTATTTGCACGCAGAACATTGTTTGAGTTTATACGTGCTACTCCGGCAATCGAAACACACGTGCGGAAGAAAACGCGAGACTGTAAAATGGATTCTAATACGTCTAATTGTCTAAATTATTTTTTATGTTCACCAAATAATCCATAAAAAAAAACTAGATACTTTATTTAAAAAATGATAATATTCATCTAAAGAAAAATGTTTAGACAAAATTAAAATTAAACATTATGATATTATTGTTATAACACAATATTAATACAATAATTAGATACATTGTTATAATTATTATGTACATAAAAAATAACTCTCACCCAATAATAAGGTCCCCTTTATTAGAAGGTCTATTCTGTAGCCGTTCATATATTTAAAAATATTTAATCTATTACCTTTATATTGTTACCGGAATCTCATTATTGTAACATTAAAATTTATGGGTTATCTAAGTGGTTAGTGTATTTAAAATTCTAAAATTTCGAATCAAATAGTACAACGAGACTCCTATAAATGTTCACATTTTTACATAATAGGTAAAATAATTTATTTTTAATTTTAAAGATAATAATATGATACTTCTCCTAACGTTTGAAAAACGGTAAACTAAAAATAGCAGTTATTATTTCAAATTTATTAATTGACCATTTTAATAAGTCATTTTTTTTTTTTTTTTTTTAATACGTTAAGTACCCATTTAATTCAAAAAATTGTACAAAATAAAAGTAAAATAAAGCATTAAAACCTAAGTTCTATGTGTTCGAAATCCGTAAATCCCAAATCGACATTTTTTTTTTCTACCGAGCCGAAACGAAACCGTCAAAATCATAAACGATATACACAATATAACACATCATGTAATAATATTATATACCGATGATTATGACGATTCGCGCAGACACTACTTAATAAAATAAAATATAAAAAGAACAAAATGCGTATTAGGTACCTTGAGCAGATGGTGCAGGCGAATTTGCGCCGGGTTCCGCGATCACTCGCCGCAATCGTCACTGTGCAGTCGGTGTTCTTGTCTCGGGCGTTTGATGCTTTCGCTACGAGCACACCGTGTACCGCTCGTATGGTATACTTGTACAGCGGCTGCTGCTGCTGCTTCCGCACGCGTAGACGCACCGCCGTCGTCGCCTTCCGTTACGCTCAAACTAGTCGTGCGCAGCGCTATTGATCATTCTTTGCAGCCGGCGTAGTAATATTATTACGATAGGTCGGAGTGCATCTATTGGTACAAAAGCCGGATATGTGCGTGCTAATACTGTTACGACGAGATGCAGCGGATATCGAGAATTTCGTGCTGGACATCTGCGTTTGCGGTGCTGGGAGTATTGGTGATGTTGGCGCGATGACTGCTGCGACTGCAATGCGGTTTCTGCTATATAGTGTGCGGGACCGGATAAATGAATGATCGACGAAAACAGTATATTATATAGAGCTAGATATGATCTATACGCGTACGAGCGGTGGCGGCGGCGAATCGGCGAGTCGGAAGGACTTTCGTAGACTACTGTTATGGATGCGGTGGAGGTGGAGCAGGTGGCGGTGGTGGAGGTGGCGGTCGCCGATGACCGTGGTGACTGCCGGTCACTATAATAATTTAATATCGCATATAATAACATATATATGTATATATAGTCACCATATATACACAATGGGTTTATTACATAAACACTGCAGGTATCACTATATCATTATACCTACGCGATTACGAGAACGAAATATACGTTAGATTATTGTAGAGCAAACGCCCGCGCAAATTATTATTAAAGTTACTAAAATATTATGGTCGGCAGCACTCAACCTATAACGATCTATATAATACTATTATTATAACAACTTTAAATAAGTATATTGCCCAATTATATTATTTAGGTACGATGGCCGCGGTGATATCGATCAATATTAATTGATCGAGTGAGGGCCACTTATACACAAATACGTTGCGTACATACGTAAGTACTATAGCAGCATATTATCATTACTGGCGTTAGTGTATATAGGCTATAATATTTTATGCTATATAGGTGTACACACGTACGTGATTATTATGCGTGCGTTCGCGTTATACTAAACTGCAACATAATATTATATTGTACACCTACCATCGAGGGTGATAAGAAATGGCATATTAAAATAATATAAATTAGTAAGTACGTGCCATAAACTTATTCCAATTGACCCAGTGTTTTATTGTATTCAATTATCGCACGGTATCTACCACGCAAATTGCTGAAAGTGATAACAGCGGTGCCGCTTTGATTTTCCGGGACTTTAAATCTATATATCACCTACATATTTATACCGTGTAGTCGTTCGAATAGTTCCAATGTATACTTGAAGGTATTATATAATAAAATTATGATGTAAATCTCATAATAATCCAATACAGATACAACAAAATATTAAGTAGATAAACGACAACTTCTAAAATATAATAAGACTATTAATTATATAATGACATTTGATTACTCCGTTTCGCGGTTGTAGATAACAGTGAAATTTATCAGTGTTAGGTAGTCACAATAATACTAAAATGTGAATATAGTTAATTATATGTAGTAATTAGTAACTAAAATAAGTCTCGTGTGAGTAGGGCAAATGACATAATACATAACCAAATTAGTCATAAAATTACACACTTAAAATTTCTAAAATACACCATTTAAATATTTGTTAAAAATTGTTTTGATAAAAAATAAATAAATAGTATCTAAAATAAGAATGACGAATAGTCACGTTAAATAAAATGCTGACAATACTTAAGTCGGTGTCCGAGTGCATGTACTTTCAAATACCTACTCAATTAACCTGCAGCCACGTCGGCAGTACGTGAAAGCTTTTAAATAAACAAACGGTATAACAACTGATTTTCGTTTTGATACATATAACAAAAATAGTTCAAAAAAAAAGTGAACTAACTCAAAAACCAAAAAATACCTAAATATGCAAATCAAAAAATAGTCAACATAAAATTATACACATTATTTTTCTTTGTCTTAATACAAAATACATTTGTTTCTATAACTGACTCTAATTTGCAACGCTATTGCGCTACAAAACAAACATGTAAATGTTAAGACTTTTTCTGCCTTTTGTCAGATATAGTAATATTATTAAGGTTCCATCATACCAACTACAACAAAATTAAATCTATCAAAGGTTCAGTTAAAGTAGTTAACTGTATGCGTTTGACATTAAGACAATGTCAGTACCAGGATAATAATTAGACACACTTTCATAACATGTTCCTTTCTAATTAACAAAGATCTTCCACCAGTGCAATATAATATGTTAAAGTTCACAATTAAACATATCTTTGAGAAATGCCCAGAATACGAATCTACACACACAATTCGCAATATCAAATATAAGCTCTCAACGCGCGACGATGAAACCATAAAATTATCATCTTATTATTTCTAAATGTAATTTATTTAATAAACTTTAATATTGTAAACAATAACCAGCCACAGAGATTAAATATTACTAATATTTTATGTTAAATATTGTTAGTTATTACATATTAACTAATAACCTTAGTGATTGAAGTCAGTAAATTCTCAAAATAAAAAATGTACTTATGCCTAATAAACGAAACGATATTTACCTAACTACTGCATAGTGCATACATACCGATACCAATTAGTGTTATAATTTATAAGTCTCCCCGTAGATATATACACTGATATAATGTAGTAATATAAAAAATAATTTTCAATTTAATAATAAATTTCTTCAAATTCAGATTTTTGAAAGTTTTGAATAAACTTACTTAAAACCATATTTTCAAATTATTTAGATGGTTTGTACTATTATCCTGTGACAATATACATTTTTATTTTTCAGATGAAAACCCTTTCTTAATATAATAAATTATTAAATGAATACATTTTGAAAATGTTTTTGTTACCTTATTGATTAGCTTAATTATGTAATCTAATTCTAAAATTCGAGTTTTTCAGATATTAAAATGTTCATATTAAAAATAATATTTCTTAAAAACGGTTTTATTTTAAAATATAAAATACCTAGGTATAATGTCGGATCTAATATTTATTAAACTTGAATCATTTTTACAAGTTATATATTTTTACTAAAATGTTTAAATCATTTTTGATCTATATATATTTTAAACTGTCATTATCATGGATCTATTATCTTTAGACCTTAGTACACAATGTTAAATAACTCCAAAACTAATTGTCCAAATTTTGATATTGATATGTAAAGATTTTTAGAAAAATTATTCTCTGAATATTTTATAGTATAAAAGGAAGGAGGATTTTCATTTTAAAAATAGGACACTTCTTAAATAATACAAGAATTTAAAAAATAGTGTTTAGAAAAATTGAAATGATCATGTTTAGTGAATCATCTTGTTTATTATTACATTGATATAATCCGTTATATAGGCATATTTAGCTTCGGGAAAACTTGTAATACAAAATTGCATACATGCAGGTAGGTATACCTCGTATAGTGTACATGATGTGCAAGGCAATTGTATATTTATAACAGAAACTATTTTATTCGTGACCGACAGTGGTTCTGCAGAATCCATGAACCCGTTAGTCTATCTGATAATCCTAGAGACTTCTATGGCATTTGTATATTCGTAAAAAAAATGCCAACTATATAGAAACAAATGTATTCCCTGTTAAAATAATATGTATATGATATTATGTAGCCCATTTTTTTTTTATTTAGTATTATTATACTACAATAGTAAAACAAAAGTTTGTATCTCCATATACGACACACTTTTCGAGCAGTAGGTACACTGTAAAACTCTTGAGATTTTAAAATATTATAGTCTCCGTGCAGTAAGTTATTTAAAAATTCCAAAAATCAAAATTTAAACAACTGCTGCACATTAAGTTTATGTCGAGAAAGAAAAAGGAAGTGAGCGCGTTTTTCACATCGTCCTGTATATAATACAATACAGAACATTGCGCGAGTCACACACACACACACCTACACGCACACACACATATATAGACACTTCTACTCTTACAGCAAATCCGCATACGGTCACACTCGCACATAACACCGGTGGCGTGTAAATTTCGCGGCTGCAGTCGCAGACGTCGCGGGAGTGGTAACACCGCGGGCCGGCGGGCGGCCGAAAGTCTACCGGACACACAATGCCTGGCCATCGCAGTGGCCGCTCGCGATGACCGTCAAACGGTGCAACGGTCGTTCGCCGGCCGCGCGGGTACTTTCGCCAACGCCCGCCGACGAAGCGTCCCTGATCTACGCGCGGTCACTCGATCCGCGGATAGTAAATCACGAACGTACAATATAACTACACGTTACGTGTATGTGTGCACAAACTTGTGTGTACAAACGATATTCGTTAAAATAGCGGCGAGTGCATGTGGGTGCGGCGGGGCCCCGCGACTGGGTTTTTCGCCAGTTGTCCGCGATCGTATTTCGGCCGGTCTGAACGTATTTTTACCTCCACCGCGCGTATACAAAACATAATAGTAATAGCAATAAAAAATAATTCGTTATTTATTTCCGCCTGCCCGCCCGCCCGCCCACCGCTCGGTGCAAGTATAACGAGCACCGGTGTATAATAAAATAATAAAAATCGCGCGCGCAACATTCGCCAATTACCGGCGGTGGCTGTAATTACACACGTCGGTCGTTTTTCGCGGTAAACGACGCGGCGGCGACGGCGGCGACGTTTAACATTGACCCCGCGCCGTGGTCGTCGTACCCTGTGCCGGAAATACGTCGACTTCACGGTCGCCACCGCTGCCTCCGTCGCTATTTTTGCAATTTTTGCGTTCGTGATTATATTATTATTTATTGTACAGCGGAGACGCGTGCGGTCCGACACAATCAGGGCCGGATTTAGGTTTGTGCGATGGCCTTTGAGCCTCGGAATAGCGTATATATATCGTGGGGGCCCCAAATAAAATATGTACAGGACAATGCATTTTTGATCGCCCATTAAAATAACGTGTGATATTTTCCTCTACCTACTATTATTGTGAATTGTAATAGTAAACATTTTGATTGTTGCTTTTGATAATTCATCGTGAGAACCATATCGAATCGGACAAGTAATATATCATATTGCAGGGTCGCGTTATAAAAGTAAAAATCGCCTAAACGATATAGGTATGCATTGTGACTTAAATAAATAATATAAATAATAATGTTTGGTGGTTAGAACGATTTAAAATTAAATGCCTGAAAGTTTTCTTGATTTTATTTTTACAACGTCAGACGACACAAAAATATTGCTCGTCTGGATTCCAGAACTTCACCGCTCGTCTATTTGAACGGTAAGTGATCACTTTACACGGTTGGATAACATTGTACATTTTATAATGCTGACACTTTATAGTTTGTACTATTAAAAATATAATATAAAGTATATTATATAACATGAAACATTTAAAGTCATAATGAGCTTTTGATT